TTTTTGGGGGGAAATCCCCTGGGGAAATCCCAAAAATCGGGGGGGGGAAAACCCCCCCCCCCCCCCCCCCCCCCCGATTCCCTGTCCTAGAGAGATATTCTCACAATGGCTGCCAATTGCATCCCTCTTAAAGGGTCGAAGGCCTGTCCCGCTTTCGCAAATGCCGCTGTGTCAAAGAGCCCAGAAAACATTGGCAAATTGTTCGTTCTGCCTGCGCCTAAAAGAGCGACAGTCCAATCCTTGATGTAAATGCTGATTTATTGAAACCTGCAGTTCATTTCTTTCATTCGTGTCCAACACCCAAGAATTCGATGAGCATCTGTTTTCATACGCTAATAGCGAATATGTCATGATGAAGTATGTACCCATTTGTCTTAGACAACCAATGTTAGTGTTTTGAGATTGGTAGAGTTTGTGCTAATGGTCTTCTTCCCTCTCTTTCTTCCCCAGATATCAGCAAGTTCTTGGATGTTCCAACATCGACCTGACCAATACATCTTCTCTCTATGCCCGATACACATTAAGCGTAATTTGTAATGGAATCGTTCAGAGTTCCGCGGCCTGTGGGAACTCACCTCCCTTATGTGCAGAGTCTTGTGTTAGTCCCCCCACTATGCGCACACTTTTCTTTGAATAAACGAACATATCACTAATCTTGTGACAGGCACAATATGCTACTAGTGAACAACTAATTGTCGTCAACAAAGAGCTTTGTGGGACTCCTAGACAGAGTTACATGGACGAGATACGGTCCGATTTCACAATTTGCTCGAACCCGAAGGAGTCGCTGACAGATACTTGCATACCCGGTGATGCAAATGAGCCTAATGAATGCGGCTTTTCTCAAAACTTATTAGGTCTATGTAGCTTTTGCAAAGGGAGCACAGCCAACTCCACAGACTCTTGCTGCAACGCTGCAGATGTCACAAACCGCTGTAATGGATTTACCCTCCCCTCCGTACCATCGCTCCCTCCACTTTTTCCTTCTCCAACTTCAACCCCTAAACCGTCCGACACCACAGTTGCGAGCACAGGTCTCTCCGGCGGTCAAATTGCTGGCATTGTAGTGGGATCAGTTGTCGGATTAATTCTATTGGCTGCTCTCGGTGCCCTACTTTTTATTTGCCTGCGACGGAGGCGAGAGAAAAATAAGGCCTCGGTCTTGAACCAGCCATCACCACAGAGGACGCCAATGCAATATGCCCCTGGGAGCAGCAGGCATGGCGCATACGAGGTTCTTCCGGGTGGTCGTGTAGCAAGAATGTCAGCATTGCAGGGAAGCAGCGAAGAGGAATCTCCACCCTGTGCTTCCGGAGGAGTTGCAGCAGTGGCTCTTGGTGTTACCAGATATCACGATTCATCCGATTCTGAAGTATATGGAGAGAGTCCCGCTCGGGCTAAGCGTGGCCCACCGGCTACTAGCAAGAGAAATGGCTCTCTTTCGAGTGCATCGGTGCTAGCAAGGAACAGTGACACTGCTTCACCCAGGTCTGGAAGTGGTGGTCAGTTTTCGTCACCCGAGGGAATGGCTAGTGGTCAATCTGAACAACTGCCCTATTTCAGAGACTACTACTCGCAGGATGACATCCACCCCAATGATAAGGTTTCCGTTCTATGGGCGTATCAACCCCGTGCCGGTGATGAGTTTGAGCTGGATAGAGGCGACATGTTGAAAGTAGTGGGAATATGGGATGACGGATGGGCAACTGGTGTTCGTCTCAGCGAGAGGGCTGAGGATTATGAAAAACACAATGCACAACGTGATAGTGGGGTCTCTAATGGTTCAGGAGCTCGAAGAGGATCATCTCCACCATCAGGCGAAATCAAAGCATTCCCGGTATGACTCGCTGACGAAAATCCTTTTTCTCTCTTTTTTCCCCTTTCAATGAGCAACAGGTGCTGACAACTTAAATTAGCTGGTGTGCGTCTGCCTACCTGAGCATTGGAGGAAAACCATTGACGGTGATGTTACTTCTTCATCTCACGACGAAACCTAGTGCTCGCTACCATCTGTCTCACGGTCCTCATTTCATGTCTTGACGATTGCGCCTTTTCCATTTCTTTTCCGGTTTTCCTTCTTCAGTCCATGTTTCTGGCGTTTCTTGAAAGGCAGTTGACATTGGTTCTACGGTAACCCTCCCATGCTACGTCCCCATCGACGGCCAAACAGTTATCATTCGCTCCAGCGTGAACGGCTTCATTGTATAGTACAATGAGCAGTAGGTATGCATAAACTGTTCCTGCATCTCCGTTCAACGCTTCCCCGGCACCCCCCCCTTTAAATAAAACCAATGTCACCCAATTTCTCCTTAACGACTTGAGCACCACATTGATTTTTATTTTCTTCTATATGTACCACAAGACGCTATATTCTCCCAGGCTGCAAGCTCTTTTATTTTTTTTTTAAAAAAAATTCCTTTTTATTACCAGATCCTATAGATCTATCTTGTTTTTTTTATATATTCTCATTCTCTTTTTTCATATTCCCATGCTTCAAAACATTTTCGTTTCATCTCAGGAGCACGTCTCTTCGCAACCTTTCACCCTTACCCTGGGTTATTTTTCTTCACGCTACAGTATAACTGGCTTGTGGTTATGTCTGGGTCAATATGTGTATTTCTATCTGCTTCCTTTTCTCCCAGCTTTTGCATATTTATCTGGCTCATTTTTTAAGGAGTCACTTGGTCTTGTTGGCTTGAGCAACCTTCTACCTCCCTATTTCTACATCTCTTTTGTCGCTTTTTACATTTTCTAGCTTACTTAAAACAGATGTAGTTTATACCCCTGAATTTATTGGGTGACAGGACTAGGAGGGCTCTTTTAACCTTCTCATTTTCATTTTGCTATGAATTTTAACGGGTGTTTTTCGTTCCTTTTTTCGCTATATCTTAATTGAGATATTTGCTTGTACTAGTGAGAGGCGTAATAATTACTTTTGATTAAGTTATATTTATAAAAGAATTAAATGCATTCCCAGCTTTTCCATTAATTTTATAATTATTATTATTATTATTAAAAACAAGCATGCTTCGCTTGCTACACTCACTACGCTCGCCACAACCTGATACATCACTGATCACATGGCAAATGAGATGAATGTCAGCCTGCTGGCAACTATAACACCTCAATAGAACATGTGAATATTAATATGCAGTGTTATTGAATCATATTCATTTAGCTGTAGTGAAGAAGAAAATGAAATGTTACAGATGCCATTAATCTGTTTTAAATATATGTAAATTAAAAGTAGTTAAATCATTTTTTTACAATTTAGTAAAAAAATAATACTATAGAAATATAAAATATTATTAAAAAAAACTATAACTTTATAAAAAATAAAATCTAATATTAAAATAAAAAAAATATTTATATATTTAATATTAAAAAATTTTAAATTATAATAATTTAAAGCTATTAAAATTTAAAAAAAGAATATATTTTTATATATAAATTTAATATTAAAGTATTTAATTAATTAATAATTATTTATATTAATTTAAACTATTAAATAAAAATAAATAATACTATAATATAGTAAATAAAATATTACAAAATATATTATTTATATATATTTTTAATATATAATAATTAATTATTAAAATAATAAATTTTTTCTATAATTGTCATTAATTTTGAAAATAAAGATAATTATTGAAAGATGATCTGGTAGATGATAAGACTTATCTGATAAATTACATTAGTAATTAGAAGATTCTGTGAAAAGAATTATAATTGAAAATTACAAAAATTCAACTCCATGTTTTTGTTGTTTTAAGTTTCTGGAGACAGAAGCTCAGCCCTAAAATAGGGTTAGGGCTCAATGAGCCCCTGAATCAAGTTAATAAGTTCATGAACGCCTGGGAGACTGAGAGATACCTTTCCATTGAGAATATTTTAAGGTTTTTTTTTTTTTTTTTTTTTTTTTTTTTTTTTAATTCTCCCTCTAATTTTGGAGATGGGGCTAAAGGACTTTGGTAGGGTAAATCACAAAGGACTAGATTTGCAAGCTGCTATTTGCTTCTCTCGGCGCTCAGGAGTTTCAGTGTTATCTCTGGGTTATGCGAAAATGTGGGGGAAGCCGTACTCCAGAGAATTCTCAAGTCCAAGCCCACTTTTCAATCCGATGACTCAAGGTGTCAGAGATGTTCCCGATCCTTGCATCTGAAGATAGCATGCTTCTTACACCTGAGAACGAATGGCTAATAGTGGAAAATTTCATGACTTCACGTAGCTGCCGTCCATTCGCGCTCCTGCGCTTTTGACGCGCATATATGATGCTGCCATAAAGCCGTGCCAATGGCTGGGTTAAAATGATCGATGACAGCTGGAATGTGGAAGTGCAATCAGTCCAGATCTAATTGGGAATCCAGTTCAGTTTAAAGCATCTCTATTTCCAGGAGGAACCATCTCTGGAAGAGAATGACATATGGCCTTTGTGCATTATATCTTCCAGGATAGCCGTCTGACTGCCATGCAACATGTGTTTCGCTCTTGAAACCTATGATGACGGTGCCTAGCAGCCTTGCAAATATCATGGGTGGTGTTCATGAAGACATATTGGAGTAGTAGAGTTCATTGACTGAGCCGAGCCGCGGCAGGAGATGATTTGAATAA